TGAAATCGGAGGTTGAAGTGTCTTTAATGTCCACAACCTGAAGACAATTTCTGCAGAAATGCAGCAGTCAAATTTGTTCATCAAACTATGCCAAGATCAATAGAAAAGCGTCATAACGTTACACCTCAATGAAAAGCCACATACCTAAATTTGTTAACCAACGGGAATTCTACCATGTGGTCCTGGACCGCCACCTTTGACTTATTGGAAGTTTGAAGATGATCCTGTTGATCCTTCCGCTACGTCGAAAGGACTTCCGGACTGTAAAACACCGCTGAAAAAGTACCCATCAGCGTTCTGCGCATTCGCGCACAGGCTTCGGAATTCGTTTATAACGCTATACGATTCGAGGCGAGCGAAAGCGTGGCACTTCCCAAAAAAAGACTAGACAATAACACTTTCATGTTTACTTCGTAACTGGTTACATAAAATAGCTGGATAAGTTCCAGATTAATCCACTAACCTGGTATCTACTCGATTTTTTCTCTGTGAAGAACAATGGCTCAACATAACAACTGTCTTAGAAGTAACTTGGACACTTGTGTAAAATATTTCTTATCCTTACAAAAAATGAGATCATAAAATAAGGAAGGGAAGCAAGACCAACGTACTCTCACCAACTACTCAAAAGTCATGACATTTCAGATCTTCAGCGACCTGATCGCGACCATACGACCTTTGGTTGGAATCGACGCTGCGAAGACGCCTCGACAACGGTAAGGTTATAATCTTATAGTCTTTATACTGTGAGTTTTAGGCCTTCTAAGGTAGAAGTGCCGGAAATGGCATTCCGTTACGACATCGTGACTGATCAAAACAGCCCCAACTCGATACAAAAAGATAAGAAGCAAACGGTAGAATCCCATGAAGGCTCGTAACATTTTTGAAACTAATCAGACTCAGGCCATCTCCAAACTGCTTGTGTCGCGGACTACGATCGTCAAGGTAGCACAGCAGCTGGATCGAGCCTACACGCTTAACTGGAAGCACAAATCGCAACTGACAAATATCAGCTCATAGGGGGCAACTGGCCGCAACTACAACATCATCCACTTATTCACGGTTAGGTAGTCCTCATCGATTGGTATGAAGAGAATGAGGCTCGATGTTTATACCAAACATTTGAAAACGTGTTCGCGCATAATGGACGTTCATAAGTTGGCACGTACGTGCAATCGGCGAGTAGGACGATGCGGATAAGGAAGGATACCTATCGATTGTTGCTCCGGCCCACGAGCGAATCGCTTCAATCGTCTACTCGCCTCCGCTCCTATGGGCGGCGCAAATCAATCCATACGCCTGTAGTCTTCCGCGTAGTCGCCTAATCGCACGTAGATCGTCACTCGAGCGCTCCATGAGAGAAAGATATTACTCGTCAGCAAATCCGAGAAAAGATATCCTCAAAAAAAGTACACGCAATTTGTCCATTGACCACGTATTATTTCCATCAGTGCCTTGTATTACTGCAGAACCACCCTATTTCGTGACAGCGATATGTATTTAACCTTGCGCGGATCTACTAATTCTCCGCATTCTTCCGATTCAACCCGCACTCTACGACCCCTGTGCAAGCGCATGACATGGCCGCGACAAGATTCTGTCCTAACAGACGCTGATACTACGCCAACCTCCTCCCAAATAATTCGTTTCTCTCCAACCAACAAGAGGAAATGAGCTCTCCTTTTCAATTTTCATGTTTTTGTAGATTTCAATGTCTTCACTCACTTGCTACGGTGCTACATAGTTATCACCTTGATGAGTTTCCCGCCGAGAAACTTGTCACAGTTGCAGACTAGGCAGCCAATATGACGGCGTCTTCGGGAAGTCTATTATGTGTATTTCCCGTTGGATGAGCATCTAAATAATAAAAAGAAATAAAAGAAAATAGGAATCACAAAATAAGCAAATAAGCAGGGTTAAATTAAAGCCTTCATTTGCGGCAGGTGAGAAACAGAGTGCGCTGACTATTTTCTCTTTTTCTGTGGTACAACTCGCTTGATCAGTAAATCTTTTCAAGGTTATTACGGCTGTGCATCGAAGGATCGCCATTCCGGCCGAACGTCATTCCTCGTATGCTATCCGATTTGACGAAAAACGAAGCAGCACGAGCACTCACATGGCGTTTCTTCCGCGTCAACTACAAAGATTTCGTGAGAATGTTGGTGAAAACCATTTTTCTCACATTTGTTTGTTCTGCGAAAATATTTCTTTTTATTACACCAAAAAATTGCTCAGGTTGAAACCTCGAGAAATTAATATGTTGATGGCGGAAGCTACATGCCTCTTTTCATACAACCAATAGTTACCAATAGTTCAGTGGAATAAAGCTTGTTCACAGTTGCATAGAGGTACCGTAGGTTAAGTCAACCGTGCGCGGTTCTCAACGTGGGACTGCGTCCAAATTTTTGGAAGGAAGTTATCGGGGTTGGCAAATAGGTAAAAGGTAGAATGTGGGGCAGGGGAGGGTTGTAGGGTTTGGCTGACTGAAGACTAAGAAAGAGGCATGAAATGTAGAAAATGGAGATATTCGTCATTTTTTTTAGCTAGTTCGCCATAATCCTACTTCTAAAGCAACAACCCCAGACGGGTCCAAATTTTTGCTACTAATGAAGTGAAAAAACTCTTGAGCAATGGTGAGGAAAAAGTATCGCTGAAGCAAAACCTGACCTTGGAAGACCGCTTTGAGGAGTTGCATGGGTGCCAATTTTGTCCTGTCAGCCTTTTGATTGACACGCCCGTTTGCTTGCAGAGGAGATCGTGTGATTGGTTTCGCGGCCTTGTGCCATTGCGCGTAAAGTGAGGCTACGCTGGAAGATGCTGCTTGTTTTTTGATTGATATTATTGCCTAGATCGTCTAATCTTCATAGTTTTTTTTTGTTTAGATCGCGTTTTTTTGAATTTCCTCTTCTGTAAATCTGTTTTTGATTGCCGGCGTAGCAAGTAAGTCCCTACAACTCGTCCCGCCCCCTTAATCCAGGTCAAATCCCTATACCCATCCAATCTTTATCGACGGCTTTCTCTGCTTTTTTTTCATTCTCAGTCAATGCGGCATCCACCATCTCATTATAGACCGCTTTTATCCAACCAATTTGATCTGTGCTGCTGATCTGATGCTTCAAATATGACTAAAATGGGTGAAGAAAGCCTAATGTATTACCTTGAAAGGAGGAGTAGCTTGGGGGGAATGGGGGAAGCATCAATTTTCTGTAATCGTAACAACGGACGGTAGATCCTACAAAAGTTCTTCTCAATGAAAGTTTACCATTTGGGAAAGGTGCTCATAGACTTTTTTTTATTTTTGAGAGGAATATCAAAAAAGATCACAATGCAAGAGGAGTTGCATTAATTATTAGGTTGTTGCATTATAAATGCCGCTTTTGGACTTACCACAAAATTCGTGGGACAGCAACAATTCCGCATCTCAGATGAAGAGATGGATACTGCCTTATTGTGGCAGGCTTCGCCATTACTCACGAGACTTGACGTCCTTCTAAAAGAATCGCAGTAACTGTGCGCAGGTAAACATGGACACCCAGAATCCGGATTTTTTTGTACTCTCTAAACTGTTTCCCTTTAAAAACATGCCGCGTTGACTCGGATAGATGGAGTGTGACCAGAGCTGTTTGGCGGCGAATTGAAATGCTTCTGCCTGGTCTCGCACTTTTTTGCTGGCCATTCTTTTCGTGAAGTGCAGCTTTTTCGCCGCGAAGTAACTTCATGAAATCATTGTTTTTCTTCCTCGCAGAGCCAATGCACGGTTTGATGTAGGTCGATTTTTGATTACAAAGACCTGGCGTAACCGTGCCAGCTAAACTCATCCTCTCAAGATGTCAAAGAACCCATCGTTTGAAAGCAAAATTCCTGCAAAAAAATGATATGGGCAACGAGTAGTCGCTTC